TTGAATTGGAGCATATGCAGCTGGTATGTGTGACTTTGTCACTCTCTTTGGATCAGTAAATGCGTCTATCAATTGATTTGCCATATTTTATAAATGAATCATCTTTTGAACTTGTAGTGCACATTGTTTTGTCTGAGGATCAAGATGATTTAATGATGATATATCCCATGTAATTTCTTTCACTAGTTGCTTATTTTCTCCCCCTAGTGTTGGAAATTTTGTCTCATCAAAATGACAATCGGTGAACCACACAGTAAATACATCCTCGGTCATTGGTTCAATGTATTTAATTATTAGGAGTCATATATACAACATATATTCTAACCTCCTTTGATTTCACATCTTAGTGCATTGTGGTGGAGCAACTGGAACATAGACCACACATCCAAAAATTCTTAGATGGGAAATATTTGGTTCCTGATCATAAACCAGTTGTAAGGGGGGAGAACTTATGATAACTTGTAGGTCTGATGCGTATGAGTGTTGCTGCATGTGAAATAGTATGTCCCCAGACTGAAACAGGGTGTTTTGTTCTTATAAGTAATGGTCTAGAAGTCAACTGCAATTGTTTTATCAATAATTCTGCTAGACTATTTTGTGTATGAATATTTGCTATAGGATGTTCAACAGTTATTCCAACTGACATGTAATAGTCATTAAAAGTATGAGATATAAATTTTCTGGCATTATCACTACGAATTGTCTTAGTTGCATATTTTAGAAATTGTGCTCGTAATGAATTATTTGAGCAAGCAATCTCGCAAATGTCAGGCTACGAGTTGATAATAAACATGCATGTGACCATCTTGTAGATGCATCTATAAGGACCATAAAATATCGAAATGATCCACATGGTGGATGAATATGTCCACATATATCACCTTGAACATTCCAGAAATGCGGGAGATTCAATCCCAACTTTAGCCGGTGATGGTCTAGTAATTAATTTACCTTGAGAACAAGCAGCACATGAGAATTTATTATATTGAAAAGTCTTCTAGTTTTTCAATGGATGCCCTTGTGAATTCTCTATTATTTTTCACATTATTACTGATCCAAGATGCCTCAATCAGTCATGCTAAATAATAAAAGTATTTGGATCAGTGAACTTCTGGTTCACTATAGCATATGCTTCAACTCTACTTATGTTTGTGTAGTGAAAGCCAGAAGAAAATGTGGGTAATTTTTCAAATACACATTTCTTACCCAAAATATTATATGTAATATAGAATTGACATTATTCTCATTTACTGTCTCAATATGATATCCGTTTCGGTGAATATCTTTAAAGCTTAATAAATTTCTTTGAGTCTTGCTAGAGAATAATGCATTATTAATAATAAATTTTGTTTCTTTAGGGAATAATAAATAGCTCTTTCAAAGCCTTTAATTAGTTTTATACTTCTGGATATTATATTAACATTCGCCTCTCCCATTATCAGATGAGAAAAATATTTCTTTTCTTTAAGTATTGTATGCATAGTTGCACTATCTGCGAGACATGTATCTTCATGATTGATCTTGAAATCAAAAGAAAATTCAAGAATATTCATATTTTTCTTCATTTAACAAAGGTAAAATATATTACAAGAAATATTGCCAACTAGTATATTTGAAGTTTCGTGTTAAACTCATAAGAAATTGTATATTAAATAAAAATACCGCAGAGTAACTTTAGTTATTCTGGACATTCCTGTATGCAAATAAATGATCAATTCTATCTTCAGGAAAGATATTAGCTGCATCTAGATGTGTTATATCAATAGAGTCATCATGGTCTAAATCTTCATTTCGGTAGGCAAAGTTTGCCTCTACATCTTTTCCTTTTTTCCTTTTGGGGTGCTTGATATAGCTTAACAATATGTTGTGGTGTACGACAACTACGTGACCAATGACCTTTCATGCTGCAGCAGTAACATACATTTTATAAACTCATTGAATACTTGTTTTGTTCACTTTTACCATTCTCTTCAATATTGTCCCACTTCTAGTGGTAAGATTTATTCTTGTGAGTGGAAGGGTTGTTATTATGACCACCATGACCATGATAGTTACCTCGGCCATGTCTATATCTACGACCACAACTATATCCATTAGTCCTATTCACTTCAGGGAATGGAGTATGAATAGATAACATATCTTGTACGCTTAAAATTTATCATATCTATCTAAGCTTCACCAATTTCAATAATTCATTTGACTTAATCAAGTTATAAATTTTATTAGTGGTTAACTATAATACTTATTTCTCAGAAGAAAACAATAGGTATTTAATTAAACAAACTCATCTTACTTCTTAAGATGTCCAAATCAATATGAAAATATATATTACAAATTGTTGAAAATTCCCTACAGAAAAGGTAAAACTCAATTTGAAGTCTTTCATTATGGAAATAAATATCCTTATTAAACAAAGCTTAACAAAACACATAATATTAATGCATTAAAATTTAATAATGGTAACAGAAGGTATTGCTAAAAGTACAAATAATTAAGAAAAAACTAAATAAAAGATAGAATGATAAATATTTTCCAATCCATACATCTATATGCCATGCTTTCTACATCAAAATAGATATGTGGAAAATAATGATCAAATTCAAATAAAAGATACAAATGATAAAATATGGACTACTTATGAATTAGGATAAATAATATTTAAACATGTAGATAATAGATTATCTATAATAGAAATTATATACACATAAATTAAAGTCACAATACATAGTAAAACGATGTTAGTATGATAAAGTTCATTGTGTAAATATATGTGTGTATGTACATATAAAGCATAATAAAGAAAATATACCTTCAACAAGATGATAAAGCTCAAAAATGTAGTATCGTGCTTAAAACGTGTTGTGAAATACTTTGTAGAACTAACAATTTATTCCTTGATATTAGAGAATTTAAGGAGCTAGAGAACTTTTCTTTTCACTTATCCTTTTGCTTCATGCATCACAGCTATAATATACATATATGACTTAAACGACTTTGGAAATAACTCTAGAAGTCAAATTGAGAGAGATAAATTCATGAGTTTATAGACATCATAAACAGGTTTATAACACCTACTATATATTTCAATATAGCAACGAGAGACTATCACACCCTGAAAACTATAGCGAAAATTCATAGATACGGGTTACGGGATAGCAGCGACTCCCACGCACAAGACAAATCCCGCACTTGAGTCAAGCCTGATACTTTATACCAGGTAGATTAACTCAAAACATATACATAAGCCTGCTGAAGATAGTAGGTCAAAACAAACTATACATATATACTTATAATCATTATTTACATTTTATAACCTTACCATTATAATTATTTACAACACAAAATACTCTTTTTTGCTGAACATAACACCACTAGAGTCGAGTTTCCAAATAAGCACTTCTTAACCATGCCCACAACTAAGTTTTGCTGAACATAACACCACTAGAGTCGAGTTTCCAAATAAGCACTTCTTAACCATGCCCACAACTAAGAATTTGGATTATCACATTTCTATCTGTCGAGTTTCCAAATAAGCACTTCTTAACCATGCCCACAACTAAGAATTTGGATTATCACATTTCTATCTTGGATCTGGAATTTTTTTGAAAAACAACGAAGTAAGCTAAAGCTCAGTGAGAACATTTACCACTAGAGATCCTAGATATCTAACAAAATTCAAATAATTCCCAAAAATTAGTGAATCATAAGCTTGGCAAAGTATATCTCGGAAAAATAGTAAAATATGGTCCATGAATAACATACTATTGCTATATTCAAGAAAAAAGTGCAAGTTAAATATATCGCAACATAGTCCAGAATCATGATAACGTATTTCAAAATCAAACACTTTTTGAAAACAAGTAATTACTAAGAAAGGAAATGAATTATTAAATTTGTGAAAAGCCAAAATGAGCCACATCACAAATGCACCTATCTCTGCCATAGGTTGTCGGCCACATCACGAACACCCAAAATGAGCCACATCACAAATGCCAGAAAGCCACATCACAAATACCCATAACAGGCTACATAAATGTGCATTCTAACCATATGTCAGACACAAACACATCACTCTATAGTGGACTTTCTGAGAGTTTGAAAACATTAAGAATTGCTTATTAAATAAATAGCTTATTTTGAAAACACATCATTTGTCAAATTATTTGATTTCAAAACACATCACTTATCAATTTAGCTTATGCCATAATAAAATCATATTATAGCTTATGCCATAATAAAATAGATCATAGCATATTTAACTTTATATATTGAATAAATAGATCAGAGCATATATATAGATTTCCGAGAGTGTGAAATCTAATTTAATTTAATATATTGAATGAAATTAAATCATATTATAGCTTATGCCATAATAAAATAGATCAGAGCATATTTAACTTTATATACAAGAAAAATAATCGAATATTTATTTTCAAGAACAAAATCAAATAAAATTTAGCGCTCATGCAAATTTCATATTATAAAAAAGTACTAGTGAGAAATGAACTCACCTCCAATGAGTACAGCTTCCTCAAAATACTACTTTTCATGGTATCAACCTGAACCTATATATAATATAAATATATAAGACTAATATTAATTTAGGACAAGTACATATTATAAGATAATTAATGCATAGTTTAAAATCAATCATATTCAAGTATACTCAAATAATAATTATCTATAAATAAGGTACATGTTGGCTTTATTGCTAATTTTAGCAATTTACTATAATTTTCTATGATATTATTTTAATATTATTATTAATATATGGCGTAGGTCAGGGGTTCCAATTAATTATTCGAGCTTAATTCCTAATTGAGCTTGGATCTTTTGGATCTGAAAGAAATCAACAAAGCAACAGGGGTCTATAATAATGTTTTTATTTCTTTTTATCTTGTGGACTTATATACAAACTAATAAACTTTTAGGGGTCCCAAAAAAAATTATAATTTTAATTTAGTTTCCCTTTTCTCTCTCTCCTTTATCTCTTTCTTCCCAGTTTCCCCTCTTTTTATTTTGTTACGTTCTTCTTCTTTCTCTCTCTTTTTTTCCTCCTCGGTGGCTGCTCAGCGTGGCCCACGCCTCATACTCCGCCCTCGGGGGGCCTCTCAAGAGTGAGGACTCCCTGTTTGATGAGGGGTTGGTGATGAAGCCCTCGCTAGTAACTAGGTAAGGTCTTTTCTCTGTTTTTCCCAATCAATTCCTTAAGAAATCAAAGAATAAATGCCCCATCAATTTCTAAAAAACAAAGAAGACTAATGAGAAGAAGAATTATACCTTTGGTTGGGTTGAATTTAGGGTGATATTATCTTTTCCCCCCTTTTCCTTTCCCCTAATCTTCTTCCTCTTCTTCTTCTTCTTCTTCTTTTCTTTTCTTTTTCTCTTTTTTCCTCTTTATTCTTCCCCCCTTTCCTCCTCTTTTAAACTATCGGGAGGTGGTGTAAAAAAATTTACGGACATGGTGAGGCGGTGAAAATCACGGACATAGTAAGCCGGTGAGGAATAGTGAGATTTTTTAAAAATATATTTTATCATTTTTTTCTGTTTATTTGGGGTTGTTACACTCTCCCCGCCTAATAAAAAGTTGTCTTTGAAACTTAACATACCTTAATCTTCAAAGAGCTCTAGATATTTCTCTCGTATAGAATCTTCAATTTCCTAAGTAGCTTCTCTTTCTGAATGGTTCTTCCATTGTACTTTCACATATTTGATGGTTCGATGCTTAAGTATTTGTTCTCTAAAATCCACAATGCGCTCAGGTTTCTCCTCATAAGTCAAGTCAGGTTTGAGCTCCACTGGAGATAATTCGATTATCTCATTTGGATCTCGGATGAACTTTCAGAGCATCGATACGTAAAATACGTCATGTTATCCAGATAGAGATGACGATAATGCTAACTTATACGCCATTGGACCAACCCTTTCTAGAATCTCAAAATGACCAACAAATCTTGGGCTTAACTTGCCTTGGATTCCAAAAATTTTCACTCCTCAGGTAGGCGAAACCTTTAAGAAAACATGATCACCCTGAAAATCCAATTCTCTTCTTCTTTGGTCAGTATAACTCTTCTGACGACTTTATGTAGTACGAAGATGTTCCTAAACTAATTGAATTTTATCAATTGCTTGTTGTACCAATTTTGGTCCAAGAATTTTTTTTCTCCAACATCGTCCCAATAGATAGGAGACATGCACTTTCTTTCATAAAAAAGTTCATATGGTGTCATCTGAATACTAGTCTAATAGCTGTTATTATATACAAATTCAGTCAAGGGCATATAATCTTTCCACGATCCTTTCATTTCCAATACACAACATCTCTGCATATCTTCTAGTGTTTGAATTTTCCTTTCTGATTGGTCGTCTGTCTATGGATAGTAACCTGAGCTAAAATTTAGTTTAATCTGTAGAGCTTTATGTACACTTTTTCAATATTCTGATGTGAACCTAGGGTCTCTATCCGAGACTATTGATATGGATACTCCATGCAACCTCACTATCTCATTGATATATAGTTTAGTTAGCTTTTCTAAATAAAAAGTTTATATTGATAGGTAAGAAGTGCACTGACTTAGTCAGTCGGTCAACAATCACCCATATCACATCATTCTTATTTAAGGTCTTGGGAAGACCAGTGATGAAATCCATGGTGATCTTTTCCCATTTCCATATTAGTATATCCAAAATTTAGACTATATCAGCTGGTCTTTGGTATTCAGCCTTTATGTGTTGGCAAGTAAGACATTCCACAACATAAGTAGCAATTTCTTTCTTTATGTTATTCCACCAATAGATTTTCTTTAGGTCTTTATACATTTTTGTTGATCCAGTATGCATAGTATACAAAGAGTGATGTGCCTCTTTTAGAATCTTCTTCTTTATCTCTAGTATATCAGGCACACAAATTTTATTTCCAAACCTCAATGACCCATCTTCATGTATTTTAAATTCCCTTCGAATGATTTCTTCCACATCTTTTTTTATCTTCACTAGTTGAGGGTCCTTCTATTAGTTCGCTTTAATTTCATCTAACAAAGAAGGTTGTATCACCATATTTGTTAATTTAACTCCAATTTGGTGAACTCTAATTTTAATTAAACTACGATCCAACTCCTCCAATATTTTTCATTGAGAAGTAATTAAATATGTTAGATTTCATGAATTCTTGCGACTTAAGGCATCAACAACAACATTTGCCTTGCCGAGGTGATAATTAATGGTAATGTCATAATCTTTTAAAAGCTCCAACAAATCTTCTTTGTTGCAAGTTTATCTCCTTTCGAGTAAATATATATTTCAAATTCTTGTGGTCAGTATATATTTTACAATGTATGCTATATAAATAATGTCTCCAAATCTTGAGAGCAAACACTACTATCGCAAATTTCAGGTCATGAGTGGGATAGTTCTGCTCATAAGGCTTTAACTGCCTTGAAGCATATTCTTTGACTTTTCCAATTTGCATAAGAACACATCCCAGTCCTCTTCTAGAGACATCACTGTAGATAGCAAAGCCTATATCACCAGTGCAGGTATTGGGGCAGACACTAATCTACTTTTTAACTCTTGAAAGCTTTTCTCACATTCAGCTGACCAGATGAATTTAACCCCTTTCTAGGTAAGACGAGTCAGTGGCGAGGCAATATAAGAAAATCCTTCTACAAATTTCTTATAGTATCTAGCCATACTAAGGAAACTACGAATCTCTGTTATGTTAGTTGGTCTGTCCCAATTAATTATAGATTTTATCTTTTTAAGGTCTACAGAAATCCCTTCCTTAGAGATTACATGTCCAATGAACGTTACTTTCTGCAACCAAAACTCACATTTTTTAATTTTGCATTTAATTTTTCTCTCTTTAATGTTTGCAGTACACATCTCAGGTGTTCTTCATGCTCTTCTTTGCTTCCTGATTAATTTTTCTCTCTTTAATGTTTGCAGTACACATCTCAGGTGTTCTTCATGCTCTTCTTTGCTTCCTGAGTAAATCAGGATATCATCAATAAATACGTACACATCTCAGGTGTTCTTCATGCTCTTCTTTGCTTCCTGAGTAAATCAGGATATCATCAATAAATACCACAACAAACCTATCTAAGAAGGGTTTAAACACCCTATTCATAAGCTCCATAAATGCGACAGGTGCATTTGTGAGCCCGGATGGTAATACTAGAAATTCATAATGACCATAGCAGGTTCGAAATGTAGTTTTTGGCATATCTTCTGGTTAATCTTTAGCTGATAATAACCAGAACGGAGATAAATCTTCGAAAATACTTGAGCTCCTTGTAGTTGATCAAATAGATCATCAATCCTTAGTAGATACTTGTTCCGAATGGTTACCTTATTCAATTCACAGAAGTCAATACACAGTCTCATACTACCATCTTTCTTCTTCACAAATAATACTAGCGAACCCCAAGGTGACACACTAAGTCGAATGAAGCCTTTATCTAATAGTTCTTGCAATTGCACCTTGAGCTCCCTCAACTCAGCTGGTGCCATACGATAGCGAACCTTAGAAATAGCCGGGTATTAAGTCAATTAAAAATTCAATCTCCCTATCTGGAGAAATTCCCGGGCAACCGGTACCTCTTCTAGGCTTGATTTTCCTTCATTGTTAATTTTAACCGAAGCTAAATAACCCATACATCCACTTCTCATCCCTAATATGATATCAAAATCATGTATTTCCAGTATTACTAATTCCACGGGAAGCTCCTTGTCGAGAATATTAATTTTTCCCTTACAACTCTGATCTGATACTAATATACTATCCCCAGGTGTACTAACAAATAATTCTTGTTGTAAGGTGTCACAGGGTAATTTGTTTCTCTTAACAAACTATACAACAATTAAAGAGTGCGACACACTAGAATCAAAAAGTACTCGAGCATGAAGCGATGCAGAAGTTATCATACATGTCATCACATTTTTGTCTGCTTCAGCTTCCTTCTTAGTGAAGGAATATACTTGAGCTTTGGCTTGAGGTTGCCTGTTCCCACTGTTGGACTGGCCGGTCGTTAAGGTATTCTGATCCATTTATATTCTTGGGCAATTTGCAATTTTATAATCTTTTTGCCCATATTTGAGACAGGCTCCAGTACTTCTCCAACAGTTCTTCACTTCATGGCTGAGTATATGACAAATATCATATTTCATAACCTTTTGGTTCTAAAGCTGCTCCTCTCTACGCCTTACATTCTGTTTCTTATTCCTCCAATTTTTATTTCTCCCACTGCGATTATCTTAACAAGTTTTCTTTCTTGGATATGAGCTACTCACCTCATTCTTTGATTTCACATCTATCTTATTTTTCTCAATTAACAATGCCTTCTTTAATACTTCTCCATACGTCGGGAGTCCAAATGCATTGACCGTCTTCCTGATGTCCGATCGAAGGCCTTCTTTAAAGTGACAAGTTCTATCCTTTTCCTTCCCCCAGCAAGTGAATAGCAAATTTTGACAGATAAGTGAACTTCTCCTCATATTCCACTACTGTCTTATCACCTTGCTCTAATTTTCAAAATTTTTGTTCTTTTTTGCTTGCGGGTTATTGAGGGAAAATACTTTTCATAAAAAATCTTTTTGAATTCATTCCATGATATCTTATACGCATTTTCTCCCAACGTCCTAACTTGCATTTGTCACAATCCATAAGCACGATCTTTTGACATGTAGACTGCATAATCAAACTTTTTCTCTTCAGGACATTTCATATATGTGAAGACTTTTCCCATTTTAATGATCTAATGTTTGGCAACCATCTGATCAGTAGTTCCCTCAAAACTGGACGGGGATAATTTCTTGAATTCACTCATCCCGCTCTTTAATTTTGATTGTTCATTGCTCTGGCCATTCATCTGGTTGCGGTCAATTTGATCTTGTTGTCTGGTGACTATAGATGCTATTGCTTGCAGTAATCCTATTAATGTGTTGTTGTCTAAATGGCTCCCAGAGGTTGATGCATGAGTCACTCTAGATCTCATTAGCTTACTTATTGTTTGGTTGAGATCGTTATCTTTGTACGGAGGGGTTTGGTCATTATTCACAGCCATATCTCCCTATAATAATAAAATGTTGGAATCAACTATTGTACAAAAGACAAGTTATAGGATAGTCACATATACACAAGTCAAGATATTATGATTTCAAGCATTGTTCATCAACATAGCACAATCAGTAATTACAAGCTAAAAGTATATTATTAATATTTAACCTTTTAGTTCATACACATATACAAGTATATGGGTTTACGTATGTGCATGTTTTCCTACCAAAAAGTTCTATACACACCAAAAGAGTCATACACATAGTTCATACACATACACAATACAAGTCCCACGCATGAGTCAAGCTTGATACTTCATACCACGTAGCTTAACTCAAAACAAATACATAAGCCTACTAAAGATAGGAGCTCAAAACAAATTATACATATATATAATCGTTATTTACATTTCACAACCTTACAATTATAATTATTTACAACACAAAACACTATTTTTGTTGAACAAAACACCACTGGAGTCGAGTTTCCAAATAAGCACTTCTTAACCATGCCCACAACTAAGAATTTGGATTATCACATTTCTATTTTGGATTTGGAAAAAAAAAATTGAAAAACAACGGAGTGAGCTAAAACTTAATGAGAACATTTCCCACTAGAGATCCTAAATATCTAACAAATTTCTAATAATTCCCAAAAATAGTGAGTCATAAGCTTGGCACAGGATATTTCAAAAAATAGTAAAATATGATCCAAGAATAACATACTATTGCTATATTCAATAAAGAAAGTGCAAGTTAAATATATTGCAACGTAGTCCAGAATCATGGTAATGTATTCCAAAACCAAACTCTTTTTGAAAACAAGTAAATTACTACGAAAGGAAATGAACTATTAGTACCTGAATCGATCCCATCCATTCATGATCCAGATCTGATTATTCGACTATAAAATGATGTAAAATAAATGGTTGTTTATTTATATTAGTCCCCTGAACCTATCCCATCCATTCATGATCCAGATCCGATGATTCGACTCTTCATTCAGTTCCAAAATAGTAGATTGGAATCTTCATTCAGTTGCAAAATTGTAGATGAATCCTTGACTTTTGATCCTTCTCCAATACTCATAGCATTTGTTTCCTGCAGATGCTCAGGCAGCTATGGCCTGCACTTCCGTAACCAAATCACCTCCACAAGTTATAGGCACCCTATCACCATTCACATTTTCTCGATTCTTGAAGCCAGGACAGTGTCACTCCCGGACGTTTTTCCCTCATTACTTAATAAAAGAATGATGTTCCACCGGGGAATTTCCCCCATTGCTCAAAAAATAAAAATAAAATAAAATGAACTTAAAATACTGAATATAGCAATATTACTTGTGAATCACCCATAAACTGAAAAGGATTTAGGTCAGTTCATTGATGAGGAAAGTTCTAATCTTTAATTTTTGTTAAATGATTGGACAGAAAGAATATAACATAAATTGATAGTAATTCATTTTTTTTTGTACAATACATTTGTGGACTTAACCACATAAGCACTTCTGTATTAATACTAACAGACTGCAATTGACGCTCAGGCATTGACCATAGAGAAATTATGTGACTGAAACACTGAAGAGGTTATGTATTACGAATAGATACATACTACAGTGTGATAAAATCAGCTAGAAGCTTAGAACAACCTCATATGTTAAGCAATTTTATGTGTAGTGTTAAGCATGATGTATTATGATGGTGCAGGTTATATTTAATCATATGTTAGACATATCAAATATTGTCCCATATTTCATCTCTACCTCTAACAAACACATTACATGTGCTTTGCTCTAGAACCTTTAGTATTGTTTTATAAATAGTAATAATCAGCTAACACAGTTCATGTTGTTTTTGCTCTCATGATTGACTTTTTAATAACCAAAATTACACAATATTTAAGATTAAGCTGATATTAATAAAGTATGGGATAATGGACTGCAAGATATTTGACGCTGAACGACAATATGCCCTATAATAATAATAAAACCAAGGAAACTTATTTTTTATTCCCTAAGGTTCTATATTAAATATTATAGCTGTAATATTGTCTTTTTAGCTTTTGGAACCTTGGGGGTATTTACTAACAAAGATTCTTGTTATAGTTTAGTTATTTATTCACGTTGACCTTTGCTGTACTGGATAGCTTCTTTTGCTCTGAATGCAACCTTCAAGAGCACGCATCTATATAATTGAGCCCATGTATGGTTGTACTAACTTTATATTTTCAATATTTTTTTTCAGAATGAAAGATTAAGAACAAGCAACAACTACAGCAAGGAAAACAAGGTACATTTCCTTTTCAAAAGTAATGCTTTTTATAGTTCATATAGTAATTATAACATTAGTTTTATTAGTGTTCAATTACTATGTTAACTTAATTGAATTTAACTACATTATGAAATTTTCCATTGTGTCAATTATTAAAATTACATAATAAATGAATTCATAACATTTAAAATTTAAAATTTAAATTTATTAGATGTATATACTAGATTAATATGAAAAATAAATTAACATTCAATTCTTGTGCAATTCAAATAATATTCTCACAAGTTTGCATCAAAAATTATTGGAAAAATCAAATGGAATCAAATGAAGGTTAGCCGAAGAAATTTAATTTTTCTAATGCATCCTCAAGATAATTAATAACAAATAATTCTAATATATTCATATACATCTATCAACAGCATCAAAGAAAATCAAAAGAAAAAATACTATAATGCGCTAACTACTAAGGAAAGAGAAGCTTATATTGGAAGGGTGTGTCAAAATAAGAGAATAAAGAGGATTATGGATAATAGTCAAAATGCAGAAGAGCAGTCAATGAAAAAAAGTGTAAGTTGGCTAGAATGAGCATCTAATTACCAAGTTGAATGCAACGGTGAGCTTTGATAAGTTTAAAAATATAATAATTTAAGTTTTTACAATATATAAAATTAACTAATAACATTTTACAATCATATAGGAACAAATATATCAAGGCCGTCCTGTTCAGAACTACACAAGCTCGGAAAGATAGCAAGTTGCATCCATTATGGAGCAATGAAATTTGAATATGAGAGTCCATCTTTTTGCTGCAATAATGGAGAAACAACACTTGTAGAACCTCATATTCCAGATGAATTATATAACTTGCTAACATCGGATTGTAGTGAGGGTGTTGAGTTTAGGAGAAACATTAGAGCATACAATAGTGTTTTCTCATTCACTTCATTTGGGGTAGCAATTGATAAAAATTTGGCATCTTCAAGGCATGGAATATACACTTTTAGAGCATAAGGTCAGATCTATCATAGTTTGCCTAGATTGATACCATAAAATGATAGACCACGCTTCTTCTAGTTATATTTTTATGACACATATAATGAATTGTAAAATAGGATGAATTTTGTACAAGAAGGGAAATTAGCAGAAAACACAATGAATACTTTAATGAAAATCCTAGAAGACAAACCTTATGAAAAAATTCTACAGAGGGTTAAAGATGTATCAACATTGAGAGAGTTACAAATATGTATATCTAAGAACACTAACCTTGACCAAAGGATTTATAACTCTCCAACAGCAGAGCAAGTGGAAACAATTTGGATAGAAGGAAACAATCCAAATGAACAGTTAAATAGAGAGATTATAATACAAGAGAACTCTGGACAAATACATCAGGTCAAACATTATTATAGTTCCTACGATCCTCTACAATATCTGATTTTATTTCCAAATGGTGAGAGTGGATGACAACAGTTTATCTACAAAGGTCGGAACGAAAGAATACAACTAAATATGATCGAAGAAGGTCAGACATTGGATTTAGCTAGACAGCTTAATGAGGAGGAATCACAAGGTAAAACCAACGCCAAATTTTAATCTTGTAAGTAAAATATATCATATCCTATCAATTTTTTAATTTTTTTTACAAAATAACAGATATCGAAAGACAAGGAGGGCAATATGTTTCTTGTAGGGAGTATTATTGCTACATGCTTCAGATTCAGAATCCAATAAAATCAATTCTGCTACTTGCTGGATGACTATTTCAACAATTTGTTGTGGACATGTATGTGAAGTTAGAGACAACACAACTTGATTTATTTAGAAAGCAATAGTCAAATATAAGAGTATAATTGTATCAAGGAATTGTTGATAGTGTTACTGCTGGGGAAACACATGGTGATCAAGTTGGACATAGAGTAATTTTACCACCATCTTCTATAGGAGGACCAAGAGATATGAGGCGTCGTTATATGGACGCTATGGCTCTTGTTCAAAGATACGATAAACTGGATCTCTTCATTACAATAACATGTAATCCAGATTGGGATGAAATAAGAAATGAACTTCTAAATGGACAAACAACACATGATAGACCGGATCATTCTTCAAGAATTTTTAGAGGGAAAATAGAAGAACTTAAAGACCAGCTATTTAAGGAAGAAGTGTTTGTTAAAGTAGCTGCTCGTGTCTATGTTATTAAATTTCACAAGAGGGGACTTCCACATGCTCATATATTATTAATTTTGAAATATGAATATAAGCTAATGAGCCCAAATCATTTTGATAAATTTATGTTGTCTGAATTACTAGATCAATCACTATTTCCAATGTTGCATGACAATGTGGTACATCATTTGGTTCATGACCCTTGTGGATCGTTGAGGAAAACAAGTCCATGCAAGGTTTACGAAAAATGTAAACATCACTACCCACGCCCCTTTTGTTCAAAAATAAATTTAGGGGGTGATGGTTATCCAATATATAAGCAAAGGAATGATGGTAATAAAATTTTAGTACGTAACACAATTTTAGACAATCAATGGATTGTTCCATACAACCCTTACCTATTAAGTAGGTATAATTGTTATGTCAGTGTTGAAGTATGCTCTGGACTTAAAACTATTAAATATCTTTATAAATATATATACAAAGGACATGACAAAGCAGCTGTGTGCATTGCATCAAATGAAGAAAAAAAATCCAGTAGATGAGATCGAACAATACCAAGATGCGAGATGGGTATCAGCATAAGAAGCAATTTGGTGGATTTTTGAATTTAAGATGAATGATACGCAACCCTCTGTCATTATCCTCCAGTTACATCTTCCAAATAAGCAAAATGTTTATTATTGGAATAATGAAGATCTTCGAAATATTATGACATGGGAGCACACAACTAAGATAATGCTTACAGAATTCTTTAGAAAATGTGCATCAGATCAAAAAGCAAGGATGTTGATGTACAAAGAATTTCTTGAATATTATGTGTGGGTAGTAGGAAAGAAATGTTGGAATGAGAGGAAAAAAAGGGTCATAATTGGATGGATAAATTCAGCAAATCCTATAGAGGGGGAGAGATATTATTTAAGGCTATTATTGAATCATGTTAAAGGTTCTACTTCTTGGGATGACCTACTTATTATTGATGGATTACTTGTGAGGACCTTTAAAGAGTCTGCATAGAAAAGAGGACTCATAGAATCTGACGATAGTATAGTCGAATGCTTGGATGAAGCTGTAAATTTCAAGATGCCATACGCATTAAGAAGATTATTTGCAACTATTCTGGTTTATTGTCAACCATCAAATCTTAGATTATTATGGGAGAGATATAGAACAGCAATGTCTAAAGATTTTGTTTAGAAATCTATAGCGATAGATATAGAACAAATTGCATGGGCATTAGAGGGAGTTAATTATTTCCTGGAGAGCATGGGGAAGACAATACAAGATTTTGATTTACCTAGGTTTAAAGAAAATAAAATAGGTGATCCATCACGCAATCTACGAATCATACATGATGAGATAGATGTTGAAGTATGTCAGGAAGATATAGATGGTAAGTATAAATTAAATGAAGATCAAAGGAAAGCTTTTGAAATAATAATGGACAGAGTTAATATGAATAAGGGAGGAGTTTTTTTCATAGATGGTCCCGAAGGGACGGGAAAAACATTTGTGTACATAACTATACTTGCCAATGTTAGATCAAAAGGAATAATTGCAATAGCAACTGCAACTTCAGGAGTAGCAGCATCTTTACTGCCTGGTGGGTGCAGATCACATTCACGGTTTAAGATACCTATTAATACTACTGAGACAATAATTTTCAATATATCTAAACAGGAAGGTACTGCACATTTGATTAGAAAAGCAGCACTAATTATTTGGGATGAAGCACCAATGGCAAAACGAGTAGCGATTGATAGTGTAGATCGTACAATGCAAGACCTATTGAGTATAGAAGAATTGTTTGTTGGTAAAGTCGTCATTTTTGGAGGAGATTTTAGTCGTGTTGCCCGTTATTCCAAGAGGAACAAGAAGCCAAACAGTTAATACCAGCTTAGTAAAATCTTATTTGTGGGAGAAGATGGAAAAGATAGCCTTAAAAATAAACATGCGAGCAAAAAATGATGAAGAATTCAGTAAATTCTTGTTGCGCGTTGGAAATGGAACAGAAAAACAACTAAAGATGAACTAATTAGACTTTCTAAAAGTATTGTGATTAAAGATAGCAAAAATGGACAATCAGAAGTTGAATTGTTAAACCAAGTATTTCCATCAAGTGAACAAAACGCAAATTCAGCTGAATATATGACAAAACAAGCTATTCTTGCAACAAAGAATGAATATGTAGATGAACTCAATGACAAGCTTTTGGAAAAATTTCCTGGTGATGAGTTTATTTTCCATAGTTTTGACAAGGCTGTTGATGATCCAAACAACTACTACCAAGAAGAATTTTTAAACAAGTTGATGCCTAATGGTCTTCCGCCACACAAGCTAAAGCTGAAGCAGAACTGCCTGATAATGTTGCTTAGAAATATTGACTCATCAAATGGACTTTGCAACGAAACTAAAATGGTTTGCAAAGAATTTGATAAGAATGTTATTAAAGCAGAAATAACAAAAAGTCATCATTCGGTTCAAGAAGTCATGATTCCAAGGATACCCTTATCACCGGCTGAAAAAGAAAATTACCCTTTCAAATTTCAATAAAAACAATTTCCTATAAGGTTATGCTTCGCAATGACAATAAACAAAGCACATGGGGCAAACAATTCGCACAGTGGGTATTTACTTACCACAACATGTTTTTTCGCATGGACAATTATATGTCGCTTTATCTCGTGATATATCAACAAACACTACAAGAGTGCTGGTTAAAGGCGAAAGAAAAAAAAGAAAGGATATACATACACCAAAAATATCATCTACAAAGAACTATCCAGAGAAAGGTAAGGAAAAATATTTAAATGATTAACTTATTTATTGTAAATGTCTATGAAAAAAATATCAAAATTAAATATAATTATTTTATAGGAATTAATATTGCAATAAGAAGATGGTGAAAAAAATTAATATCTTTATTATAATTTAAAAAAAATACTTCATTTCCTATTTCTAATATTTACTCTGCTTACAGCGAAGATGTCTGCTGAAAGACAATGTAAAGGTGAAAACAGCTTCATTAAGGATTTGAAGTTATATCAAGAATCTTTTTCAATCAAAGTACTTATACTGAAAGTGTCCTTGGATCAATTCTCATCTTCAAAAGGCTCAGGTCAGGTTCAAAAGCTTATTGTGATTGACGAAGAGGTAAGTACAACTCTTCAAAAGAAATATTTAATGTTACATTTGAATTTCATTACATTTATACATAACTAGTAATTTATTTTAATGTTTAAGTAACAACAAATAAATACAGGGAACGAAGATTCAAGCCATACTATTCAATGCTATAATTAAAATATTTGAATAATACATCAATCTCAATAGTACTATTATCATCAAGAATGGTATAGTGAGGCCTATAAATAGGAAATATGCATCGGTAAATCCAAATTTTGAGCTTGCTTTTGGACAAAACACAAAGATCAAAATATCTGAAAATGAAATCAATATTGGTACTCTACCTTTTTTATTCAAACGATTTGAAGAGGTGACGAAGACAAATAATGAAAATATATTTTCGGTATGCTAAATTTTTAATATCAATAACATAGCATTTGTAATACAAAACTAAAATTTTAAGCACTAAAATTTTAATGTTTATATAAATGTATTAGGATTCATCACTTCAATGAGACCGTTGTACACAACAAATACATCAGTTAGATGGGAGATCATAATAATGAATGAAGAGTAAGTATTTTTGAAGATGAATTATATTTTCACTAACAAAAAATAAAATACTAACATATCCATTTAACAATTTGTTGTAATTGACACATGATGGATCCATTGGTATTAACATTATGGGGAGAGCATGCAGAGAAAGAAGGTCAAATATTCGAAGACAAGAAAAACCAAAAACCAATTATAGCAATAATTAATGTTATTGCAAATAGATATATGAGTAAGACTTTTCGATTTAATTGTTCTCAAAAATTTATATAACCAAAGAGTAACCATATAATGAAAACAAGAGTTACGTAAATTTCATAAAGCCTGCAACAATATTTTTGTAAGCCCCAGACATTACTAAAGCACACGCTCTTAAAGAATGGTAATACTTATGAAAATAAAAGCCTTCCTAATATAATTTTAAAAAAAAAGAATACATGTCTTAAATATAGGATGACGGGAATGGGGAAAATTATGAGAAAATGATGCAAAAGACCCATCAAAGCTAATGAGAATGTCTAAGAATGTTATGCTTGGTGATATCATCACATCATCTATAGCTACAAAATATGTATTTTATTATATTGGTTGAGATATTAACAAGTTAAATAATAAGAAATTATGAATTTATAGTCTGACTGCTATTTTTTAGAATGTTTATTGCTACTTTAAAGTGGAGATAGCAACAATAATCAATCCAGAATCACCTTGTTACACTACATGCAAGAGTTGTCAAAGAAAGGTTTTTATTGAAGACAACATAGCTAACTGCAACAATTACAATTCAGAAAATGCGGAATGGGAAATAAAGTTTCAAATTTTAATTATTAAAAAATTAAAAATAACATTAAATTTTCACATCAAGGTACCTTATGCGATTAGAAGTTAAAGGTCATATCAACAATACATATGTTACTCTTTTCGATGAAGCTCAGTTTCTAATTGGTTGTTCTCCTGAAGAATATGTAGATTCATTTGATGAAGAAGGAAAGGTAATAAAACATTTATTAAATATATAAAAGCTTTTTTCCAAAAAATTAGTAAATTAGTAAAAATTACCATAAATATAATGCAAGAACTGTTGGACCCTAGAGGGGGGGTGATTAGGGTCAAGAGGCTCTAATTATGCAATAAAAATTAAGACAAGCAAAACACAATATACTAATGCAATCAAAGTAAGAGAGATAGGGTTAGGAATCGTTATCCTTTGACGCGCGATGTGTTAACGAGGTTCGGTCCGCTGACCTACGTCCCCGCTCTCCACTCTCGAGGAGAAATCCATTACACACCCGGTTTGGAAGCCGGAACTTCGTCTACACAACGATTCCCTCTCAATCTATCACTACACAGTTGATCTCAACAGATCCCACACCCTCACAGTTGATCTACACAAGATCACACTCACACAGCAATAGAAATAGTGCAAGACTCTCTCTTTACAAGTCCCTATGGCAAAGAGAAAGAGTACTGAAGCTGGGAAGTGAACACACACAAAAACAGAGAGAAAACACAGAAACCAGACTTTGAAAATTTTTCTCAGGAAGACAGCGTCTCTCTGGTTTTTTGCAGAAGTTAGGGCAACTGGGAAGAAGAAGAAGTCTGGGTTTAAATAGAAGAGATTAATCATTTTAAAATCACAACCCAATCTTCCCAATTAAGAAAATAATCTCCTATTCAGACTATTGCCACAGACTGTGCCAAACACAGTTAAGTGAAAGCACAGTAAACAAGGAAAACGACCGTTTGAAAAAGTCTCGGTTGACCGACTAAACTTTCGGTCGACCGCCAGAACATTCGGTCGACCGAAATGATGAATTAGGTCGACCGACCGAAAATCCGGTCGACCGCGAGCAGCTTTGAAAACACAGAAGAAAAGCAGAGACTTCATCGGTCGACCGGTGCGGTCGACCGATAGAAAAATCAAGATTTCGGTCGACCGACGACCTCTCTGGAGCCCAGTGACGAATGACCTTAAGTGCGGTCGACCGGTGCGGTCGACCGCATTCTGATATGCTCCAGAAAAGTGTTTTGACTCAAACTAATTGACTCAAACAGAAATATTTAGAAAATATTTATTTGACCTCTGAAAATTATGAAACTTTATAAAAAGTTTTTAATACTAAAAACAAACTGTTTAAAAAAAGTATTTTGCAGATAGGTCCTCATACTTGTGAAAAATAGTATTTTGTGAAAAACGCTTAAAAGCTTAAGTATGATAAACGTGTGTGTGAGTCCCAATAGCTTCAAGTGAATTCAATAACTCTTTGCCTACATTCTAATACTAGAGAGAGAATAAAAACTAGCTAATATCCTCACATAGAATGCAATTCTTGAGTCTTGATATAGCTTGAGTTTGGATGAAGCTTTTATATGAATTTGTTGTTCTTGAAATAACATTGCTTCATTACTATGCCTCCTCCTCCTTTGGATATCATCGTTGTAGCGTATATTCCATCCAATCCTCCATGAATGACACTAACAAGCTTGATAAATGAATTTACTACATTTGCACTCAATAAGCCATTAGTACCGTTAATGGTGGTTGTAAAACATCATCAAAACATAAGGGCTAACAATCTCCCCCTTTTTGATGATGACAACCAACCATTATAAGAGAAAAAAATAAAATAGCTTATAGATAGGTGCTCCCCCTATCTATGAGCTCCCCCTAAATATATGCAACAAATGAGGAGATTTCTCTCCCCCTTTGTCACCATCAAAAATGGGGAAAGAAATGCAAACAACCAAAAGAAGCAAGCAATTTAGAACTATCACATATTGCATAAGCCCAAGCCATTTCTTATGCGACAGAAATCATCCTCTCCAAGAGGCTTAGTAAATATATCCGCTAATTGAGATTTTTTGTCAACAAAGACTAGGGATACATCTTGTCTCTCTACATGATCGCGTAAGAAATGATGGCGCACATCAATATGCTTGGTTCTAGAATGCAAAACCGAATTTTTGGAAATACTTATAGCACTTGTGTTATCACACATCAATATGCTTGGTTCTAGAATGCAAAACCGAATTTTTGGAAATACTTATAGCACTTGTGTTATCACAAAATATTTTAATATTTTGAAAACTCAAATCATAGTCAACTAGGCTTTGTTTCATCCATAAAACTTGAGCACAACATAAGTCGGCGGCAATGTATTCCGCTTCCGTAGTGGACAATACAACATAATTTTGTTTCTTGGAAGCCCAAGAAACAAGTGAATTTCCTAAAAATTGGCATGTTCCACTAGTACTCTTGCGATCTACCTTACATCTGGCAAAGTCGGCATCACAAAAACCATATAAATCAAAAGAGGTGCTTCTTGGATAAAATAAACCAAGATTAAAAGTTCCATTAACATATTTAATGATCCTTTTAACCGCAATTAAATGAGATGCTTTAGGAGAAGCTTGTCGGGTCTACTAGCGGTTAGATAAAGAAGACTACCTATCATACATCGGTATAGTTTTTGGTCCACATCTTCACCACTCTCATCCGTATCAAGCTTAATACTAGTACTCATGGGAGTAGGTGCATGCTTAGAATTCTCCAAATTGAATTTTTTAACCAATTCCTTCGCATACTGGCTTTGTAAAATGAAGATCCCATCCTTAGTTTGCTTGATTTGGAGCCCGAGAAAGAATGTAAGCTCTCCCATCATACTCATCTCAAAGTGATCCTGCATAACTTTAGAAAATTCCTTGCACAAGGATTCATTAGTAGCACCGAAAATGATGTCATCCACATATATTTGAACTAAAATGAAATCATTTTTTCTTTTTCTCACAAAAAGAGTGTTATCAATTGATCCTTTTGAAAAACCATTTTCAATAAGAAAACTAGAGAGGCGAGCATACCAAGCCCTAGGAGCTTGTTTCAACCCATATAAAGCTTTTTGTACCCGGTAAACATGATTAGGAAAAGCATGATCTATAAAACCGGGGGGTTGCTCAACATACACTTCCTCTTCAATAAAACCATTTAAGAAGGCACTTTTGACATCCATTTGAAATAATTTGAAATTTTTAAAACTAGCAAATGCCAAAAACATCCTAATAGATTCCAACCTTGCAACCGGTGCAAAGGTTTCATCATAGTCTATGCCCTCCTCTTGATTGTATCCTTGGGCAACCAAACGAGCTTTATTTCTAGTTACAATGCCATGTTCATCAAGTTTGTTTCTAAAAACCCATTTTGTACCAATAACACTAGCATTGTTAGGTCTAGGAACTAACTTCCAAACATCATTTCTTTGAAAATTGTTTAGTTCTTCATGCATAGCCAAAACCCAAAATTCATCATTTAAAGCATCATTAATCTTTTTAGGTTCTAGTTGAGATAGAAATGCAACATTACCACATTCACTCAAAGCTTTTGAGCGAGTAACAACTCCTTTTGAAGGGCTCCCAATAATTTGTTCCTTTGGATGATTTGATGCGAATTTCCAAGTTTTAGGAAGTTCAACTTGTTC